TCTCAATTGTCAGGCCATGGGTATCATGAGGAACTGTCATTACAGATACCATCTGGAAACATTCATTAGCAAGCCTATATATCGAATAGTTAGAATAAATTTGCTATTATCTTGTGGCTGCGTGGAGCTGCTTAATATTTTTTTGAGTCATTTGGGGAAACAGAAAATACATATAATGTATACTAGGGAAAATTCATTAGCAACTAGAAGGAAAAGAAAAAGCATGGCAAAAAAATAACTTGGGACTACACATCATCAGAGGTGATGAAAACCAGGCTACGATGGTGATGAAGAGGAGGATGGCAATGGCATTGATGATCACGGCCGAGGCTTCATCAATATCTACTATGTGCCAGGCACCACTCTAAGTGCTTTGCAGACCATATGCCATCAACTCTAAATGGGCAACATTCCCTCGGAGTGACAACTCTGTGTCCAGCACTTTGTCCGGACATTAAATCTAAGATGTCAATGTGCACTTTTCTCATTTTCATTCATTACACAGATGAGAAAACTGAGCCTTAGCACCGTAGCTATTTCCTTGTACCTGAGGAGCTGGGATTTGACCATCAATCCATCCTCCTCCTGAGCCCACGCCCTGAGACCACACTTTATGCTATCAAACATATCCTTGTATGTACGTAACATTTTATAGGAAAATTTTAGCCCCTTTTCTTTTAAAAAGAGATGACTTAGAGATTTATTTCTTGCAAATAAATTGCCCGTGGTAATTTGCTCTGCTGAGAGGCGAAGTGTGGATATCTACATCCTTTAGCAATGGGGAGGGAAGGCAAGGCCCAGATGAGTCATTGCCTGTGCTGGGCCAGCTCCTCATTCTTTGGTGCTGAGAGGAAAAAGATCTGACCCAGAATCCCCGAACTGTTCAGACTCTCTGCTCAGCTGATGTCCAACAACACAATCACCTGGGCCATGTTCCACATCCCCTGACTTATCTCAGGTGTCGGCTCATGCTCTTTCTTCCCACTTCTCTCTCCAATCCCGCTCTTACTCCTCTGCCCTTTGGATTCTTTGTCCCTGCCTCCCTCTGCCTGCCCAGGGTTTTTCCTGGCATCTCAGGTTCATTGTCAGAGAAGGTCACATTGAGCCCTCAACGACGTAACGTGGAGCGTGAGTCACATTCTCGCAAGCAGGGCTCTCATTGTTCCCCGGTGGCCTGGGTGGCACTGTCTCCCGGCCCAGCTTTCATGTCAGGATGTTTGGAGAGCCACCTCAGAGCTATTTCCACTTCGGTGGGCAAAACGGGGGTCTGGAGGAGGAGCGGCCATATCTGGGGTGAGTTCCCTTTGGCCAAAATGAAAGCATGAAAGTTTGGTATCTGTTCTGCGTGGTATGTTCAAACACCATTTTGTTCTTTAAAGCTCTGTACTTCTGCTTTCGCTGGTTTGGCTTAGTGGACAGAGCAATTAGGAAGAAAAGAAAAGGCATGGCAAAAAATAACTTGGGGCAAGCAGACCCAAGGATCCCCAGTTCGGTTCTGGTCAAGAGCTCATACCATGGTTGCAGGCTCCTCCCTGGCCTGGGCCCTGGTCACGCAGGAGGCAATCGATGAATGTGTTTCTCTCAGATATTTCTCGCTGTCTTTCTCTTTCTCTAAAAATCAATGGAAAAATATCCTTGGGTGAGGGTTAAAAAAAAAATAGGTGTATACTTCCTACTGTTTGGAGCCCATGGCAGGCTGCCCCAGGACATCCCACAGTGGCATATAATTATTTCAAGCTAAAATCTCCTGAGAAGGAGCAGGAATGAAGGGAACTCTCTGACTCTCCTTCATCCCTCGAAAGCAGGCAATAAATCTCGTGTGATAGGTGCCCTCCCCACTCATGAGGGCTGAGAGACGGCAACCTTATCACAGTTATACAATCCAGCGATGACTTGCTGTTGTCAGAAATGCAATCAGCAGTGTCTTCTCCATCTTGAACTCAGGGTAGGAATGGAAGCTATTTCCTCCAGGTGGCCTCGGGAGTAGACAGAGCTGGCGGGAGAGTGAGAGAACCCCCAGCCTTTTGTGCAATCCCCGGAGCCCCTCGGCTTCTCCTGACCACTGCCCGGTGTGGCCCAGCAGCCTGGCTCCCAAGCACCAGACACAAGGGCATCTTAAAGGCGGGAGGGACCAGGTAAGAGTGGCTTCCCAGCCACAAGTAGGACCTCGTTTCAACACCTCCGTTTCTGAGTTTGCCGACCATGGCTCTGGAAGATTCACTGTGCAGCAGGGTTAGGCTGGACGGGAGGGAGAGAGATGGAAGCTGAGGACATTTTCTTAAGTCATCTCGTGGGCCCCTGCCACAAATGGAGCAATCCCAGACAGAAGGTCCTCTCTCCTTTTCCCAGTGAGAAGATTCAAACACGGCTTCCGATCTGATGGAGACACTGACCCGAGGTGATGGGAGGAACCAGGCTGTGAAGCAGATACTTAGAAGCCAGACTGAGTGGAGTCTCCGTTTTGAGGGCAGCGAGTGCTCCGGTCAGATGTGCGTTTTAGAAAGGCAATTCTGCCAGCAGCATGGAGTCTGGGTTAGAGGCAGGTTGGGAGGAGGCAGAGAGGTAAGGAGACTTCTGCAGAAATCCAGGAGGCGTGGTGACCAAGGGAAGGTGGTGGCTGTGATTCCCTGAGCGGAAAAGGCAGTTGGAAAGTGGAAGAGACAAGATGTGAAAACAGAGTTTCTGTTTTGAGCAGTTTGGTGAAGAGTGGGCTGCGGACTGTGAGTTGCAAGACCCACGGATGAGGACAAAGGTACAGGGCTAGGAAGTGGTATGAGGAAGGGAGAGAGAAAGGCAGAGCGTGGGAGAGAAAGGATGTTACAGCATTGTGAGCAGAAGAGTCAGGAGGAGTAGCTGCTCGGGAGAAGTAGCTGAGGCAGGGAGAGGCAGCTCTGTTTGGGGAACTTTACTACCTCCTGCCCCTCTCCTACCAGCTTAGGTTTCAGCACTGCCATCGTGGTTAATCATGTGGCGCCGTCAGAATGACTCCCTTTGCTGCTCTGATTATTCCAGGGGGAGCAGGAAGAAGCTGGCAATTACTGCTCCGTAATTTCCTCTCAGGAAAAGCTGCAGCTCCTTCTAAATGAATCATAACATTTCATTGACAGGGGGGAAAAATTGAACAGAATGAAAACAATCTTGTCCTTTGAAGACAAGAATAAACAAAAAGTCACTGACTGTAATCGCTTCTGTCTCAGCGGCCATCACCAAAGGAGAAAACGGCTGGGAGATCATTGGCTCAGGAATAACAGGTGATCAGTTGGCCTTGCATGGTTTCAGCCCTGAAAATCCCGCATCCCACCGTCCTTCCGAGGTCACCCTCCCCAGGAGTTAGAGGGTCACAGAGGTGAAGGTTAGCAGGGCTTAGCCAGGAAGGGAGAACGGAAGCACAGCTGGGGAGGTGGGGCAGGAAAAGGGTGAGTATCCAGTCCTTCGTCCATGTATCCAAGGACTGCTTGGGGCATTGGCAGAGCAGAGAGGTCCCTGGTTGCCATGGTTTCCCTCCCCTGTAGGTCTTAGCAGCAATTCTGAGGGGTGCAAGTCCAATCCTTCAAATCCCAGAGAAGTCTCTCTTTTTTCTGATCTTCATTAAAGGTGCCCCTATCACAGTAGGTCAGAGTCAGCCCTCTAGGGAGGTAGGGGTAGAGAAGGGAGCCTGAGCCACACACAACACCCCCCCCCCCTCCAAGAGCTCCAGTTACTGCGCCACCACCTTAGAGGTGGGCTCAGTGTTGTGTTCAGCTCCGTGATAACCTCTCCCCTCCTCCCCACGTGGCTGAGTCTCCCAGCCATGCCAGCCCTTCTTGGCAGGAGAGGGGTACCATGCTCTATGGTGGGGGAAGCACTGGATTTGCAGACCAACTTCCCTCACTTACACCTGCTCCATCACCTACCGTTTGAGTGGACCATACATACTTTTATGGCTGTAACCTGGCGCTAACAGTATTCTCTTTCCCACCTCATGAGGCTTTTCGGAGGAGTCACAGGGATCACTTATGTGAGCGGTCTTTGCTTGAACGTGAAAAAAAAAAAAATCTAAGCATCTCTACACACACATGTAAGGTCTCAGTAAAGATTCTTCGTAACTGTCCGTATGTTTGAAACCGATGACTTTATTGACACAAACTTTGCGATAGAAAGTGTTATGCTCATAGGGTGATAAGAATCCGTTCCCGCACCACATACACATGAAAAGATTGCCAGACAAATCTCCAGTAGCATTTCAGGAATGGTCTCGGTGGCATCCAGATTGCTCTGCAGAGGGGTGGGCCACCTACGCCATCTATCACCTTCTGCCCCGGGGGGTGAGAAGCTGTCCCTCTGTTACACGGAGACACCCTCTCCAGCGGATCGATCCCAAGCAACATGGAGCAGCTCAGTGATGAACAACAAGGCTGTGCGGAGAAACGAGGCTTAGCCTGCGGCTGACAGCAGTGCCGGGTGAAGGAACACCCTCTACACACACACAGGGCAGAAGCTCGGGGACAGTGAGCCCTTGAACTTGCAGGAGCCACGCCCTCCTGTGGCAGCTGGGGCTCCTGGTCGGTAATGCCGGTGGGGACATAGGAGTCACAGGTTTTGCTTTTATTTAATTATAATTATTATTATTATTATTAAACATTTCAAAACATGAAGTTGCTGAAAAGCCCTTTCTCAAAGAATCAGAAAGTGACAGAGATCTGAGGAAACTGTAGTTCTAAGAATGGTGAACGTCTCGTGTGACCAGAGTTCAAGACAGAAACCTGTCCTGAATACACACGTGCGGTCAGCCCTCTAGCCGGCTTGGCTCAGTGGATAGAGCGTAGGCCTGCGGACTGGAGGGTCCCAGGTTCGATTCCAGTCAAGGGTACATGCCCGGGTTGTGGGCTTGATCCCCATCATCTCTGAAATCAATCAATATATATATATTTTAAAGTGAGATCACACTACAGAGCGATTCACAACACACGAGGCCTCAGTGTCTCCGTCTGTCTCTGCGTAGTAAGCCCACGGTCAGGTCCGGGATATATGATGGCGACTGGCCAGACGCCAGCCTCTCAGCATCTGTGAGGTCCCTGGCTCCAGGTTGGCATTTAACGTTTCATGAATAAACATACAACCTACTGAAGGAGAAGAGGAGGAAGTGACACTGCCCATTTGTGTTCGAGGCATAACAGAGTGGGCAGGTAAGGAGACGGAGGATCTGGACTGGAACCTGCTGATGCCCATTGTCTGGACCGTGTTATATAAGCACACAGCAGCAGGCTGCCATGTCTGCTACCCATGCAGCTTACTGGTAGCATTTGGTACAACTTCAGGCCTATCTTTCCCAAGCCCTTGCTACCCTTGCTACATGACTTTGGAGGCAAGTCTCATCATTTAAAGAAATTCTAGAAATGCATATTCCTAGAGGGAAAAAATTTTTTTTTTCTGCATCAGCTACCTGATTTCTAACACAGTGCATGTCAATCTAATGTCAGTGTGATTGCACGTCCACCAGGTACTGACTTTCTAAAGCGATTCCTCTGCAGATGGCAGCGTCCTGGGGCTGCGTAGGGAGAGGGTAAGGGAAGCCCTGTGTACAGCCAACCTGGTCTGATCATCTCCCGCTGGTGAGCGGCGTCCGTTCTTTCAATAACAATTGCAAGTGCCCCGATTGCGAGAGAGAACACTGGAGAACACGAGCGAAGGGACCCGGAAAGCTATGAAAGATGCAATGTCTGGCTGAGCCCCCAGGGGCGTCCTTGGTTGGATGCACCGACTGCAGCGGCCGTGATATGATGGTTGAAAGGCCGATGTGGACACCAGCATGGGGACGGGGGCATTGAAGGCTGAGAAACGGGTGTGACTGCATCATAGAGACCACCCCCCGAAGACACACCGGGGTGTTGGCGGGCTTTGAGCTCGGGAAACAAGAATGACGGGGAGTTTCCCTGTCTCCTGATTTCTCATGCATCTTGGGTGAGAGCCAACGTCTAATCGCACGCAGCAAGCTTGGTGATGGCGGCATTCAAAAAGAAAGCAAGGACAGGCCTGCCAGAGAGGATGCACATTCCCGTGGCCAGGGGAGCGTGGAGCTGACACGTGACTCCCACCCCTTTCTACTTTCTCTGCTTCATCAATCGGCCTGTGGCTTTAGCTCAGCCCTTCCAAGCCAGACCTGAGTGCAGGCATTGCCAGGCAGCAAACTGAGCTGCTCATTTGCAGCCTATTAGCCTACGTGAGCCCTGTGCCAACACATTTATGCGGAAACCAGGAGGCTGGGAACGTCCGGAGAGCTCGGGCAGCTGTCGGGTGCTGGGCCAGACAGTCTCTCGAGGCCCTCGGCAGCGTCCACGTTCGGCAGGGGCACCCTCCTCTTCCAGGTTCCTCGTGGGATCCAACCAGTAGGAGATGGGCACCGGAGAGGTCCATCTGCCCTAGCGGGCACAGTTCTCTGTGACTCCTCGACTCCCTCCTCCTGCCAGGTGCTGCTCTGTGACACTGATGGTGACTTCCTTTGCAGGCATTCACTTCGCATCTCGTTTAGCCTGTTAAAAAGGGCAGCACAGGGAAGTGAGTGCCCAGGAGACAGCCAGAGGCCTCCCATTGCGTTAGTCTCCCGAGAGGGTTACACACACACACACACACGCACACGCACACGCACACGCACACGCACACGCAGAGGCGGGAAGGATGGCCCCCGGGAACCTATGTGCGTGTGCTCCTTCTCGTAGGCTTCTCTGGGGAATCTCTCACACCACAGAGCCTGGCATGGGGCGTGCTCAGTACAACACTCCCGAGGGAGTGAACGCATAAGCAGAGGTCCATCAGAGGGTAACGAGAAAGGTTCCCCAGTTGGTTTCAGTAGTTAAGGGTTTGAGCTTTGGAGTCGGGCAGACTTTGACTAACATCCTGACTATATAATTTTACAATGGACAGGTTTTTCCTAACATCTCCAACCTGTAGTTTCCTTGCCTGTAAAACGGGGATTCATAACAGTACCTTTCACAGAAGGCTATTATAAGGATTAAATAAGATAACTCATGGAAGGTGCTTAGGCCATGGCTGTAACTGAATAAAAATGAAAGAAAAAAAAAAAGACTTAGTAAGTACCCTGTTTCCCCGAAAATAAGACAGTGTCTTATAATTTTTTCTCCCAAAGTTGTGCTAGGTCTTATTTTCAGGGGATGTCTTATTTTCGGGGAAACATGGTATAATAAGTAAAAAAAAAAAATAGGACAGTGTATCCTCTTCTAAGTGAAGATACTCTAAGGATAAAATTCCAGACTTCGTATTAAATACTAAAATGTTGACTAAACTGTAAGTTCTTCAACCATATGCACGCCCCCGCCCCCTTAGAGAGGAAACTTTAGCTGGTGAGAGCCTCTGTGCCTCCCGCTCACTGGCTCTGTGCCTGGAGCGAGTGTGAGACTCGCCCTGTGAGTGTCTTCACCGAGGCAGACAGAGACGGGCCACACTCCCACCCAGGGACCGGCTGTCCAGCTGCAGAGGACACATTCAGCAAAGAGCCTCCCGCTGTCCCTGCAGAGGCCTTCCCCTTTCCAATGTGGACCGAGGAGTGGGGGCAGAGGCAGGCGGACAAAAGCCTGGCTCTTTGGCCCAGAGAAGGCCTGGTTTATCTCCAACAGGCGGATTATCTAAGAGATCCGCATGGGGTGGGGCAGGGGGAGTGAGGGTCGGCCGAGGCTGTCCTCAGGTCTGCATTATGGCTCAGCTTCTCCTCCACCAGCTCCTGCTTCCAGCCCTCCCCCCACACGGTATAGATCCTGTCTCATGTCATCTCCGAGTCTGCTTCCTGGGAAACTCAGGCAGGCTCTGATCTGCACGACCAGCTCCCAAGGCATGAGCATCTCCCCGTGCGGGTGTGAGTTACTGACGACACATGCGTGCTGTTTATGCACTACAGCCCCTGCACGCGAGGCAACTGCTTCATCGGGAGTGCTCCCAAAGACACGGTGGGCTGTGCTCCCCTGGAGAAAAAGAAACCGCTCTGTGGTCTTTATTAACCGATGACGTGCAGGCTTCTGTCATGTCGCACAGACCCCGCCAGGTGGCTGCTGCTGGTGACGGCGCTGGACGTGGCCGGTCCATCCATCCCACCGGCCGCGGTGAGTTTCGGCTGCTCACTGCTCACAGCAGCACCCTGCCTGCCTCTGATTGGATCCCAAGAGGTTTCACCCTAATTCCTGGAGGTGGCCCCGGCCAATGCCTGATGGTAGGGAACACACAAGAACACACTTTGCCTCCAGGAGTACGCATCTCTGGTGCCACTCATGCTCGGAGTTCCCGTGGGATCAGGCTGAGGCTGAGCTGTCGCCGTTCGCTGGGCTGATGTGTCTGCTGAACCTGGTCCTCGGCCCCACCCTGCTTCCTCACTCGTACTGGTTTCACCTGAGACTTTCTTTCTTTTCTTTTTTTAAATATATACTTTATTGATTTTTTTTTTTTTTTTTTTTACAGAGAGGAAGGGAGAGGAGAGAGATAGAGGGCTAGAAACATCGATGAGAGAGAGACATCGACCAGCTGCCTCCTGCACATCCACACCAGGGATGTGCCCGCAACCAATGTACATGCCCTTGACTGGAATCGAACCTGGGACCTTTCAGTCCGCAGACCGGACACTCTATCCACGGAGCCAAACTGGTTTGGGCTCACCGGAGACTTTCAATCACTTGGGTGAGAATCCTGATTGCAGACCCTGCTTCTAAGGAACATGACCTAAGGTCATACTATAAGTGATTTAAAAAAAAAATTTTTTTTTAATTTATTTCAGAGAGGAAGGGAGAGGGGGAGAGAGAGACAAAAGCATTCAATGATGAGAGAGAAACGTTGATCAGCTGCCTCCTGGACACCCATCCCTGGGGATGGAGCCTGCAACCTGGGCCTGGGCCCTGACTGGGAATCGAATCGTGACCTCCTGGTTCATAGATTGGCGCTCAACCACTGAGCTACACCGGCCGGGCTAGGTGATTTGAGGGGTATTTAAGGGTGATTTTGACTACATGCAATGTTAGTATTATTCACTGGCTGCATGAGAAAGGATTTCACTGTTCTCCTCTTCACGCCCCCCAGTGCCCAGCTCGGTCTGGGACACAGCAGGCTCTGTGTTGGACTCTGGCTGAGTACATGGATGGAGGGGCGTACAAGCGCCACCTGTGTCCGTGTCCCCTTGCTTCACAGCCGTGGTCAGCGCTGTCTCAGGAGTCAGCCTACACTCGGCTCTTTCACGCCTGAGCTGGCACCAGGGCCAGCAGTGCCGCCTACGGGTTTATGTTTCCCTAACAGCAGCGACGTCATACAGCCCCACAGCCACACTGGTTTCCTGAAGAAAAGTGTGGCAATTACGGGGCTAGTTCCATCTGAGCTCAGGTGTTCTCGCGTGGAAGCGCCGAGGACTGGGCCTGGCGGGGGGACACAGAGGCCTTATTGAAGTGGGCCAGGCTGACGGCAGCGTTTCCCCTAAACGGCCGAGAGTTTCCAGGACGGAAATGTAACGTTTCTGAACGGCCTTGCTGCTTTCCTTCGAGCGGTTGGCAAGGTCTCACAAACAGTCAGTAAAGACCGTGTTCAGAAAATGTTCTGCTCTCTGTTTCAGTCTGTTTTTCTAAGCTTAAATATCTGAGCAAATACTCAACAGTCGGTTGATTCTTAATTTCCCAGCCTGTTTAGGTAAAGAGTCAAAGGCTATGAGGCAGCCATTCCCAGAACTGCCAGAGAACATGTGTGGTGGGAACCTCAAGCATAACCTTAAATCTGTGCAGCAAAAGCCTGCACAAGGGAACTATTCAAGGGATACGCTTCGAGCCAAACAGACCTGGATTGAGTACAAGGCTTTGCCACCCATCCCTTTGCGATCACAGACCTGCTGCTCTAAGCTTTGAAACTCAGTCAGTCCCCTTCCCTGAAATTGGGGAAATAATACTCGATTCTTAGTGTGTTTTTTTTCTGAGAGAATTATGCATCTCACTTAGCATGAATAGGGTGACCAACTTCTCCAGGTCTACCCAAGACTGACCTGTTCTAAACGGAAAGTCCCAGGCCCCAGGCAGGTGGCTAAGCTGGTTAGAGCATGGTCCCGCATACCAAAAGGTTTCAGGTTCGATTCCCTGTCAGGGCACATACCGAGGTTGTGGATTTGATCCCGAGTCAGAGCGTGTATTGGGAGGCAACCAATCGATGTTTCTCTCACATCGATGTTTCTCTCCCTCCCTCTCTGTTCTTCTCTCTGAAAATCAACAAGAACATATCCTCAGGAGAGAATTTAAAAAACTGGCAGTCCCCTATTCTGGGAGCCTCCCCAGGACAGTGAATCACCCCAATGATAGCCATCAACATTAATTATACTCGCAAAAGGATGCCAGGCAAACAAACCAAATTTATGTAGAAAACTCTACTTCTTCTGAAACTATGACTATTGCTACTACTACTCCCCCCCCCCACGTGTGTGTGTGTGTGTGTGTGTGTGTGTGTGTGAATCTGAATCTTCACCCAAGGATGTTTTCCCATTGATTTTCAGAGAGAGAGTAGAAGGGAAAGGGGGGGAGACAGAGAGAGAAACATCGATGTGAGAGAGACACAACTATTACTATCAATACTTTTAAATAACATCAATAATCGCAACTCCAGAAGACATGCACTTGGATCAAGTACCAACTGGATCAAGTCTCCCAACGATGGGCACAGAAGGTTCCATGCCACAAGCAAATCCATTCTCAAATGATGACAGGGTATTGTATTTCGAAAATTAAACACCTGGGATGACAATGCGTTTTCTCGGAAGCATTTAATGAAGAAGCTTTTGCGTCTGAGGCCTCAGGGGGAAGGTGCCCACCCCTGTAGCAGCAGCTCCCCTATTAGGGGTCGGTCATCACTGCAATGTAGTTACAACCTGGTCACTTCAGGCTTCAAGCCCAAATGAGAGAAAGAAGACAGAAGGGGAACTACAGCCAAAACTGGTTTGGCTCAGTGGATAGAGCGTCGGCCTGTGGACTGAAAGGTCCCAGGTTCAGTTCCGGTCAAGGGCATGTACATTGGTTGTGGGCACATCCCCGGTAGGGGGTGTGCAGGAGGCAGCTAATCAATGATTCTCTCTCATCAATGTTTCTAGCTCTCTATCCCTCTCTCTTCCTCTCTGTAAAAAAAAAAAAAAAAAAAAAAAAATCAATAAAATATATTTTTTTTTTAAAAGAAAGAAAAAAGAAGGGGAACTACCGTGTTTCCCCGAAAATAAGATATCCTCCAAAAATAAGACCTAGCGCATGGAAAGATAAGACATCCCCTGAAAATAAGATCTAGCGCAACTTTGGGAGAAAAAATTAATATAAGACACTGTCTTATTTTTGGGGAAACAGGGTACAATGCCAGATTATTTTATCTAGGAGTTCTGAGAACTACATTGCTCTGCCCTCCCGTGAGAAAAAAAGCAACGCAGATACACGAAATAATTATACCGTTCTGTTCCTCCGGGTCTGTGGCATTTTGTCTATCCCAGGTGTTTTCCCCTCTGATGTGGTTTCCAGCCAGCCAG